TTTATGAAACTTAAAAATATTTAGAAATACAATAGCATTAAACTTTTGCTGCATGTACTTTTGGATAATTAAACCGTTTATTTAAAAAATATTTTTGTTTTTATGTCTAATCAAATACTTGGCAACTTGTATGATCTTATATTTGTTTTCGAACAATTTTTATTTGTTCGAATATATGTTAAAATAATATTTTTGGTTTAGAAAAGATGTAACGTCGTACGATACTTTTTTATATACTTGGCGTAATTTTTTTCTTTTTTTTTTTAAAGAGTTTTGGTAGATGTATATTATACAAGGACCGAAATATAAAATTTCAATCCGGTTATGATTACAGTACTTACAGTCCGAGGCTACCCAACTTTCGGTTTCGGTTTCAGTTCTTTTACCGATACCGCGGTGACCATAACCGTTTGGACCATAACCTTTTCCGATTACGGTTATGAGTACATAATTACTTATTGTGAAATTTATAAAAGCTAAGTATGTACAGTCGAACCTTGACAACTCGAATCTCAAGGAACCAGAAAAACTGTTCGAGTTAGAGTTTTCGACTTATCAAAATTCGAGTAAAAGAGGGTTAACATATGAAAATTCGACTTACGGAGGTTTTGTACGAGAGTTTATAATTTTCCGATTATAATGGTTTTTATAATAAAAAAAAATCAATATTTGCTCAATATTTCGGTTCAGTTTTCAGTTTTGGTTCGACTAAAATAACGGTTTCGATCCGGTCCAAGTCCTTGATATTAAATATTGCATTTTGCTTCTTTTCAGATAGCAATTTTGCCACTGAGTCACAACTGACCCTCAAATTTTAAATAATATTAATAAAGCCGCTGCGTATATACGACAAATATACAACAATAAAGAGAAATCGCCAAAGATAAGGCTAGATGTTGGTGTCTAATAACAATATTTTCTTAGTTTAAATTTCAGCTACAGTAAATTGCTCGTCGATTATCGCCGATTGTCGGTTTTTAACAAATTATAATCTAACGCATAAGTGCTACTATACAAATTAAAATAATCATCAATTCAATGATAATGCTACAAGCATCTTAAACTCAGCAAAATCTTATTGTGAAGAATATTAAATCGGCTAATATTTAAACACGGAACCTTCCAATCCTATACGAGGCGGGTGTCTTACCCAATCGATCACTAAGATTGTAGTAATATTTGCGCTATTTATAAAAGGAGCGCATTGTAAGGTGAATATGTCATAATAATAATTTCAATAAGGTCGCTGTGTATATACAATAAATAAAAGGAAATTCGCCAAAGACGACCGAGAATAGATGTTGTCTAAATACTATTTTTATTCCCCAAATCCAACGTAGAAGATCACAAATTATAATAAAAATACAATGTCATTAAACTTGTATGAATAAAACACAATATGTCAATGATGCATACTTGTCGTTTACTATATCATAATAAAAAAACGAATATAACAGAGACATACAGATATAATTTTTTGTTTGAAACTATAAATTATAATATTGTTGCGCTCGTCGCAGAGCACTTGCGCGCGAGTCGAAATCGGCACTCCCGGACGCACGCGGGGGAAATAAATATAACACACTCTTTTAAAAAATTAACGAAACGTTTATTGCTAATTAAATCGTCTTTTTATGTCGCAAGCGGTATTTTATAATGTACACGTCGAAAGTCGTGACGGAACGACGACACCACGTTGCCCCCTGCAACCGTCTTCTTCTTTCTTCACTTCGCGCGATACTTCGCGCGGTCGCTCGACTCAAGCCGCAATTAGAAGATACAGAGGCAGGGGCGCAACAATATTTATATGCATATTATACGTTGTAAAGTCACATTTTCATTGCAATCATTTTCCCAGTTTTTCCGTTGTGAGTTTCATCCAAATGTTCATCTTTATTCCACGAAAAATGCAACTACTTCTTTCTTTTAAATACAAGTCAAGTTTTTATTAATATATTGCATTCTTACTTTTAAAGTGACACAACAATACATAACAAGACACGACAACAAATGTGATTTTCGCATTATTACAATACGAGAGTTAAACAAACATTACGTTATAAATCATGAAAAGTACAGGAAATTTAATTTTTAAAATTTATGCCACTTTTGAAGAATAAGTACGATATGATAACAAATCTTAGTTCGTATTTTCTATTTATACTATATTTAGCAAAAAATTCAATGCACCTGACACTGCTTTCTTGAGCTAAAAAAAAGTTATTCCGTTTATATGTAAAAGAAAAAATCCTGCTACAGAATAAGCTTTAATAAAGAATGACTAATAATTACCGTGTCAATTACTCCGCCCACTGGATCAGCATCGGCGTTTGCTTCCACGGGTGCGTATATGATCGTCATGACAAAAATTGTGGCAAGAACCAATGATAGAAATGACAGTTGCATCTTTAATGCTTACTGAAACTTAAGTTGTATTAATATCTATACGTTTGTGATTTATTTGCAACGCGTATAGCTTATATAGCCCAAGAGAAGCGATTTAGGCATGAC